CTTCAACAGACCTAGCCCAAAAAACAAAAGATCAAAAATATTAAACAAACCAAGCATTTTATCTTCTTGCCAATTCCTCTTTTTCCCCAAACCGAGTTCTCCAAACCTAGACCCATCACTAAAACCATACAATCTCTTCTCTTTCCTCTCCTTCAAGAAACCTTAAGCCATCTTTTCTTGTAGTTTTCCTCTAATTAAAAAAAAAAAAACTAATCCCTAACCAAAGCATCTTGATCTCCTCTCCTTTTATCAAACCGAAACCCTAGGTTTCATCTCCTTCCTCAATCTCGTCCTCATCCTAAATTAAAACCCAAAACCAAACAAACCAAACTCTTAAAAATCGAACTATTTCGAGTCACTAGGCCATTTTCTCTCCTTCACAAACTCAAATAAACATAAAAGAAATTTAGGATAGTGGGAGGTTTGCATGATGACGGTGATGAAATCAAGATCATCGTTTTTTTTAGATCAATTGACACTAATGAAAGTTACAAATTAGTGAAGGAAATAAAAATTCTTTTCTGGATGTCTCATTGATGGAGCCTAACTTGAAGGAAACGACTAGCAATGGATGATTCTTACGTCGAGAGATAAAAGTGTGTTCTTTCAAAAAACCAAAAACAACCGAGTGTTTTAAAGAGCTCGTTTTTCCTATAGAAACCCAAAAATTTCCTTCTTCAAAAACCCAATAAGAACCCTAAGTTTTCTCCAAGCCTTTCTTGAAATTCTTTCTATCTATTTTTTCTCTAAATTTTCTCTACCTTTTTCTCTAAAATCCCCCTCCCCTTATTCCATTCTAATTTGACCCTTAGTTATACCCAAAGCTCCCTCATCAACCATAGGATCAATTCTCAATTCATCCTAGCCTCTCTTATTAGAATTCAAAAAACTAAAGCTCCCGTAATTTTTTGGCTCCTTAAGCACGAGTCAAAAATAAAAAATACAATTGCATTGTGTGTGGGTGCGATTTGGTGTAAGTGGTGTATGCAGTGTGATGCTTGGCTTATACAAATGCTAACCAATAGTAAGTGTGTCCTCTAGTCTATTGTCTTCTTTAAAGACAATGAACAATACTAGAGAAAGGAGGATTAAAGCTAGAATGCTAGAATGTTGCTAGGAAGATTCGGATGGTAGGTCGTTCGGGTGATCCCGAATTGGTCCCGTCGTTCGTATTTTATGTTAATTTTGATCCCCGTAGGCTTAGTTTTCTCGTCGATTGTACCATTTAGATGGGTCATTGTAGTCCTTGTGCTTTTAATTCTTTTAATTGAGTCGTTATATCTTTTAATTTCAGTTCTAGGATTTTCAATCGTTCCAATTTTATCTTTAATTATTTCGGTTTCGGTCTTAATGTTATTCAATCATATTCCTTAATCAATCATGTGTCTTTTTTTTTTTTTTTTTTTTACCTTGGAGGCTTATGTTGAAATAACTAATTAGTTGCTAGTTTTGCATAAAGACAACTCCAATTTGAATACTCGAACCATCACATTCTACCATAAATAGAAATGGAAAATCCGGTAAGGCCAAAACTAGCACCGGAGTCATTGCTTTTTTGAGTTGCTCGAAAGGCACAATTTGCTTCATTGCTTTAAAAAAAAGAAGCATTTTTTAGCATGTTGGTTAAAAATTGTGCGATTGCCCCATAACCTCGCTATAAATAACCGATAGTAACTTGTTAGCCTTAAAAATCCTCGTAGCTTCTTAACAATCTACCATATAGGCTAATTTATCATGACTTAGATTTTTTTTTTCTGGATAAGTCATGATGCCTCGTTTGTTAATGATGTGCTCCGGATAGTGAATCCGTTGTTGTCAAAACCCATGCTCCGACTAGCAGTTGATTAAATTGTGTTTGATACTCACAAGCAAGTATTCGTTTATTTGAGTTTATATATAAATCACCAATTTTTTTCATAAATTGACGTACCAAATCATTTAATAAGTCTTTCCTTCATACCATGTAAGGATCAACTTTAAACCCTTTTATTTAATGTTAGGCCCATAGTTAAGCATCCTTTCTACGTGGTGAGTTGATAATCTTACTTATTCTTTGATGGTAGTATTCTGAAAGTCAAAAAATTGTTACACTCGATGAATTCAAAATGCGGGATTCTCTAACCAATCATATTAAAAAAAAGTCTAATTTAACAAATTTGTGAGAAAATTCCCATTGATCATTTTTTCATTGGTGTTACTTTCAAACCGGACTAGGCTGATTGGCAAAGGACTCTTCCCCGATTTGAAATAGCATTTCGTTATCTATCCGTTAAGATTCTCAATCCGGTTCTCAAGTTAAAAAAATGCTGATTGTTTAGTTCTTTGACCATGACGAACTTTGATACCAAATTGTTACGTACCGGGATATCTTTACAACGCACGTCTTTACTATGCATTCTTATCCTCGCCATGCATTCTTGTCCTTCCATGAGCTATTTTGAAGCGAGCTAACAAGAACAAGATGAAACGTAATTTGTGAAAGCAAGGTAGTATATTGGTTAAGAATTCAATTGCCTTTTATGCACTTCAATAGATTCTTTAATAGGCCTTATCGACAACTTGCTACAAAAGTAGAAGACCAATCTTAAAAAAAACTAACAAGCAATTATCTTGTTGACTTATTATAAAGGAAAGAAACAAATAAATATTAAGTCGAACTATTCTAAAAGAACAAATAAGTGCAATTAAAGATATTACTAGCAATAAACTATTAAGCAGAGAAGACTTGATCCATAAAGGGACACGTAGCAGAGCAAGGTGTGTCACCTTACCTTATAAGGAGACCCTCGAATGCTCGAATTCAATCCAACTAGTTTGAATTGATGGACTACGACAAATATGGGTCAATTTGATGAAATTATTTTTACAAGTGGCTATTTTACGAATTGAAACAAACACAAACTCAAATTTATAATTTTCTAAGTCAAACAAAAAATTGAGGATTTTTAACCAAGTCGATGCCTAACACTCGGGTGGACCAAGCTCAAAGTAAAATCCACATTCATTTTTCTATCAAAAAGAAAAAGAGAAAACTCCTTTATTTTGTCCTTATATTTGTATAAAAAAAAACAACTTTCCCTTTATTCTTTTTGTCAATTTCTCTACAAATTGAATAAACATAGGCCAAAACGAGCCATTTGTTGATTATTTTCTCTCGCTTTCTCACATAAGGGAGGGTGGATTGACTTATTTGGCCCATGAATCATTATAGAAAACACTAACGGAAAAATTTCGGGTAGTGTGCGTTTCATTGTAGGCGGACACTCATTAACACGGTACAATTCCACGAGTTTAGCAAAAATATTTCACTTTGGTCTTCTAAATTATGGAATTCTTTTGGGTCAAGAATTTCTTTTTTCATTTTGATCATTCAATGCCCAAAAGAGAGAGAGGAATAAAGAGAGAGAGAGAGAGAGAGAGAGAGAGATGAAATAAGAGGAAAAAAAGGCCTAATGAAGCCCATTCAAGCTACCTTTATGATCGAAATTACCTTTAATTTATTCGTTTTTAAGAAAATAATTTATTTGTAGTGGTCAAAACCATGAAACGATTAAAGGAAGGAGATCGAAGTTTTTTTTTTTTTAAAATTTTTGATATTTATTTGAATTTTGATGTATTTTGTGTATTGAAATGGATTTTGAGACACTAAAAGAGTTTATTAGCCTTATTTTTGTGTTTTTGAGATTTTTTTTTTTTTTTTGGTAAAAGGAAGCTGAATTTGGGTTTACAAGGCCAGAAACTTTTAAAACTTGTTTTTCCAACACTTTTTTCGATTAGTCAAAGCTAGTTGAAAATTACAGATGGGGTGACCCGTCGTCTGCTATCTTCTATTTGCTTTTTGTTTTTAATAAACTTTGCCTTGCGTGGGCCTAGAATCAGCTCAAAATACACGGGCTTCGTGCCAGGTTGAAGATCGAGCTTGGAACGAGGCCTTAACGTGTGGGGTTTTGCTTTAACTAGTTTTTGTTTTTGTTTTTTTAATAATTTATTTTAATATTTTATTGAGAACTTTTATGCAAAAATTATGAAACATCGAACGTTGTTTTTTAAGTTTCGCATGGAGCCTTGCAAGGATCATATATATGATACCTTTTTATGATTTAAAATAAACATATATTTTATATTATATTATTTTTATTATTTAAAATTTATTTTTTCAGTTTTTATTTTTTATAAAAATTCTTATCTGATCAATTTTTTATTTTTATTTATTATAAAATTTTATTTACTGATAAATATGATTTATTTTCTCTATATATAGATTTTGAATTTTTTTATATCATGATTTTTTTAAATAAAAATTATATAATTTATATCATGAATTCTTCAAATTTTAAAATGATGGTCACATGGTTATAAATATATGTTCAATGTAAATGTTAAGAGCGTATTTTAGATAATTTATTTCTGAATCTTTTTTAATATTTTTCAGTTTGTACTTTGCATTCTCAACCCACTAAGTATATATATATTGATTTTATCAAAAATTAACAACAACCATTGCTGTTAGTTTTTTTTTTAACATTATAAAACTAATTTATTTGAAATAAAATAATATTTTAAAAGGACAACTAAATGATTCAAATACAATTTTTTTATATTAACATTATATACATATATATATCAAATGTACATACTTTCAAAAAAAAAAAATTTTTCATTAGTATCAAATAAAAAGTTCATTTTCTGATAAAATTTTATGAAAAAAATATTTTGATGCTATATTTTTGAATTTTGTATAAAATTTTTAATGTATATTATTATAAATTTTTATTTTAGAATCAATGTTTAAAAAAAAATCATTTTTTTATCGAAAAAAATTAGGGATTGACATTGTTTTGCAAATACAGGGACAAATTAAGGCATCATCTAAAACATAAGGGTCCAAATTTACTCATTCTTTTCTTTCTTTCTCCTGCTCCTTCTCTCCTTGTTTCTCAGTAGTTGGTGCCCTAAACCTTAGCCAAGAATCAAATTTCCATTTCCAGCTGAAGAATCAAATGGCAACTTCACTTATAACTAAAACCCTAAACTCAATAAAAAAACCGAACCTTTTAAGACCACTTGCCCATCAATTCACCTCCATCGCCACTGTCCAATCCGAAAAGCCATCTTCCTCTTTCAATTTCGCTGACTCCAACAGCAGTAGCAGCAGCAGCAGCAGCTGTGACACTAGCAATGACAGAAATACACATATGAAGGGACCTCCAAGTTATAATTCGAAAGGCGAAACGGATTCACCTTCAGTGACAATGCCGATGTCATCCATGACAGGGTCAATTGTGGGCAAGAGGTTTTATAGGCAAGTGACAACTAGAGAAGCTGATGATGGGAATGGATGGACTGTGATGCTTGATTATAGGACTCTTAAAACTCCTTCTAAAAGGCCTCTCAAGTTGCCCACTTTAGCTCTTGCCAATGCCATTGCTGCTGAATGGGATTATCAGGTTTCCTTTTATTGCTATTGCCTCATTTCAATTGAGTGTTGTTGGATTTGTAAGAGCTGAATTTTATTTTTTCCCTTGGCTTGTGTATTATATTAGCGTAAAAGGGTTTTTACTGTTTGATTTGGAGTTACGACGTTCATTTCCCATTGGATTTTTAGCAAGATTCAATTTTCAGCCTTTGATTTTGGGGTTTATTCTCTCTCATTGAATTGAGTCAGGTCAATTATGTTTTTGGATATGAAATATGTTCCTTTTATTTGGGATTCTGCTGGTTATTTGTCAGCAAAAGTCAAATAGAAGCAGTTCGAAAGTTGCATTCTTTTCCCTCTTTGATTTGGGGTTTGGCTACTGTACAGTCATGTGTGATGTATGATTGGATGAAGTAATGAAATATTACTTGTTGTAGCAAACAGACGGGATCAGGCCTTTTACAATGCCTCTCATGAAACTTGCCTGCACTGCACTGGAAAGAGTTCCACTCACACGGCCAAAGATTATTGAAAACTTGATGAGGAAATTTAGTCAAGATTTAGTATTCTGTCGTGCTCCTGAGGATAATGTTCTCACAAGACGTGTCTATGGTATGTTATTCATCCATAGTTTGATGCTTTATTCAGTTTTGATTCATCATTTGAATGTTTGTGCTTTTACTTAGAATTCCAGTCTCTTTAATTTCCTGTATGTGACACTTTCTTGAAATGTAAGTTTTGTTTTTCTTTAGAGCTCCATCTCTTTTGTCTTGGGTTTTATTTTTCAATTGAGTGTAAGAATATAATTCACCCTCACAAAGCAACTTAATGGTTTCATTATTGCTGTAAATCCTTATGGATGGAGTTGTTGCTTGTGTTTCTATTTAGTACTTTCTGAAAATGTTTGATGATCTGCTCCATTTTGTTCCCACCAATAGCATGACTATATATATCATCGTTATGTGTTTGGAAAACATCAAAATGTGAGTATTGATTTTGCTGTTTTCAGTACTGTCTAGGAAGATATTTTTGCTGAAGTTTCTCAAGAAAATACATCGGAAGGTTAATTTTAATGTGTTCATTGAAATGCTTATGAATCATGGAGCTTTAATTTTTGGCATCAAGCTCAACAGTCTGTGATCCAGAAAGTACTTTAAGAGTGAATTTGTTCTAACCTCATCCTATTTCTGCTTGAGCTAATGCATGCTTGACTTTATTGCAAACAGTAGTTTTATACATGGATATTTGTGCAATCTAAATAACAGTAATTATCTTTCCTAACTTGCTTTTGTTTTCTTTTTTCTTTTTGTCAGAACGGCAGGTGGAGAAATTTGATCCCTTAATTGGTTGGATAAACTCAGAATTTGGCTTTAAGCCTGTTGTGTACTCGAGTCTTTTTGGTGGCAAGCAGGAGGAAGGTCTGGTAAAAGCAATAGAAAACCTTCTAAAGAAAACCGATGACTGTGAATTGGCAGTGATTGATGCAATTGCATCTGCAGCACACTCTTTAATGATTGCTGTCAGAATTGTCCGAGGGAAATTGGATATTGAGGAAGCTATTGAACTTATCAGACTTGAAGAAGATTTGCAGGTTCTTGTCTTTGGTCTCTCCTCCTCTTCATCCTCCCCTTTTGCTCACACACAAACACACTTGAGAAACTTTGTTGCATATCTCCCTTATTACTTACTCTTCTGATGTTGAAGCCCCTGTTTTTTGCTTTGCAGGTCGACACTTGGGGTTTGGTTGAAGGTGGCCATGACATAGATATCGCTGATCTAAGGGTACAAATTTCCTCTGCTGCTGTTTTCCTTGGTCTTTCCAGGACATGAGCTCTGTATACTTTTTATGTTTTTCAAGCTTCAATGCTAGTTTTTATCTTTTTAGTTGTAGATCACACATACATTCTGCTTGTAATGCCCAAGGTATTTGTATTAACTTTTGCTGTTATTACCGAGACAATATTTGTATTAACTATCGCCACCAAGAATAAAGTTTTGCTTATACAGTCAGTTCTATACTGCCTTCTTCAGTAGCCATTGATTTATGAAATTTGACAAAATTTGCAGCAGATAATCTTTGAAAGGCCTCAAGGTTGTGGTTGTGAGAACCAGAATTTGATTTTAGAGTTCAAATGCTTTTAAATGTAATCATTAGCAACTCTCTTTGTATCTGTTTCCTGCATTAAACCTATTCGTATGGTTGTCTTTCTCTGTGTTCTATTCACCTGCTTCCCTGTTTGATGTGTGGCTTTTGATGGCTGAAAATTTGGACTGGACAAGTTCCACCATTCCTAGTAGAGGTACAAAGTACCATCACGCTGGGAAAACTGGGAAGTCAACTCACAGTGTTGTTGAAGATGATGGAGCCACACCACCTTGGCCTATCTTTTCCCAATTAAAATTATTGGTGAATCTATCTTTATAATTTCTTTCCATTTTCTTTTTGTCTAAAAATTGTGGAGAGTTATAAATCTGAGTGAATTAACTATATACTAGTTCCTTCATGTTTTTGATAAATGAATTAATTAATTTTTTTTGTTTCAAAAATTAATTATCTAGTCTATTAATCACTATTGATTACATTTAATTTAATGTTACTTTATTTTTTAAAAAATATCATATTTTTTTATTAATTTTTTTTCTTATTTTTCTATTTTCTATTTTTTTAATTCATTTATCAAAACTAAAAACACTAATTTATAATTTACTCTATAGATCTTGAATCATGCTTTTTTATAATAAAATAGTATTCTTGAATATTTTTTATTTTATAATAATTTTTTTATTTTTTATTTTTTTACCTGCAACAAAACAAGAGAAGAAAAACTCACATGACGATAAGCTGAATCTGGACTGATATTAACATCCCCTTCTCGATTTCGAACCTCTCCTTTTGTAATAATAATAATAATAAAACGAAAACTCACATCATGCGGTGCTTCCACTTGTACGAGGTTGAGATGTCCAGAGTAAACCTTCACGGTGTCACTTAATTTTCAGAATTCTATTTCCTCCATATCGGCTGCTCCTTTCCTCTCCTTTGTTTTATAGGTAGGGAATATATCTATTCCAAGGAAATGGCGAAATCGATTCACTGTTTTGAGTTGAATACTGGAGCCAAAATTCCTTCAGTTGGGCTAGGCACTTGGAAGGCTGACCCAGGTGTTGTTGGTGATGCTGTCACTACCGCTGTCAAGGTATTATTATTATTATTTTTGTCTTTTTAATTTAGTTGGAAGAGTTTGATTTATAGATTATTATTGTTTTCATCAATGTTTTCTTTTCTTTTCTCTTTGATTTTAATGCTTGCTATCATATCTCTAGAATGATTTTCTTGAGATTTTTTGGACATAACTGTGACAGTTACCGTTGAATATATGTACAAATCCTGTCGAAGAAAAGGTCACTGATTTTGTTTTAGGACAACGACAGCTTTTCCTATTGGATGATTTTCTATTCGAAAGTAGTTAGCTCATGGTGGGCTGCGTGTGAATTGTTATGCAGGTGGGATATAGGCATATCGATTGTGCTCGACTTTACTGCAACGAGATCGAGGTGATCATGATGCTTAAATATAATTACTGTTGTTCTTGTGTGTCTTTTAGAGAGACCAGTTTCTGTGGATTTAGTGTTTCCCTGCTCGTTCTGCATCTTTTTGTTCCTCATCAAACTGGCTAAAGTTCTACTCTATATCAAGTAGTTTCGTTCATTTGAGAAATGGAAGAGGTCATTGCAGATAGTTCTATGCTGTAACATATCGGATTAGATAGTTGATTGTGCATATAAGAGTAATTATCTACATCTGAGGAGGAAGCTTTGGGGTTGTGCATGGAATAACTAAGTATTTCAATGCTAATGTCTACAAGGAGAAAATCACAAAATGGATCGTGTATTATGCTTAGTTGAGCTTGACAATGATAGTTGATAAATCTTGAAATAACTTTTTAAGATTTCGGAGATGCAATAGTTGGCAATTTCCTTGTATTCATTCTCTGGATTAAGTGTATTCATGAAATTCATTGTGCTTTATCCACCCACTTCGCTGCGTGATGTGTCGCCTTTGGTGACTGAAATATTCAACGTGACAAGTTTCACCGGCAAGGTCCTAGCCTCCAAGGGCAAGCATTAGCACCAGATATACAAACATGCTGGGAGAATTGGGAATGCAATTTCCAGTAGGTGGATGGATAAATCAGATTTGATGGAAAAAAGTTTTCTGTGTATATTTTATAAGTCCATATCACATGTATAGTGTCGTTCATATTGTGTCAATTTATGTTTTCATAGTGTTTTCTTTGTGTTCTGATCTAGTGATGATTCAATTTCAAAAAACAAATATCAATTCATCTTGAGAATTGGTTGCTGATTGTTTTAGGTTGGTTCTGCATTGAAGAAGCTATTCGATGATGGTGTAGTGAAGCGTGAGGAATTATGGATCACCTCCAAACTCTGGTATGCAAGAGTGATCCATTATAGACTTTATCAAGTTGAAACTATCAATTAAAAGAAATCCAGATTTCAGTATTTGATCAGTTTGTGTAGTTTATAATAGAATACATAATGATCTACAGGTGCAATGAAATGGCACCCGAAGATGTGCCAGCGGCATTAGATAGAACTTTGAACGAGTTGCAGCTTGACTATGTAGATCTATATCTAGTATGTATACATTTGAGCTGTGCTTGTTTTTAGCCTTATGCTTTAAATTTTCTGGGTCTACCTTTTAACAAAATTGAAGTAAGATTCTGAAAAAATAAAAGCAATTCTGAGTCACTCCAGCATTTTTTTCATGAATTAATTTTTATCATTTTGAAGGTCCACTGGCCAGTGAGCATGAAGAAGGATTCTGTTGGCTATGAGCCTGAAAACCTTACCCAACCTGACATAGTCGGTACTTGGAGAGAAATGGAGGCACTTTATGATGCTGGCAAGGCTCATGCTATTGGAGTTAGCAACTTCTCATCAAAGAAGCTTGGAGATCTGCTAGCAGTAGCACGCATCCGTCCTGCTGTTAACCAAGTGGAGTGTCACCTTGTATGGCAGCAGCCAAAGCTTCATGCATTTTGTCAATCCGAGGGAGTTCACTTATCTGTAAGTATGAAATAGGACCATGTGAATAGTTTGTTCTTTCGTGGATGTTTGAATACGATTGATCTAAAGATACTGGCTTCCTTATAGTGGATTACTTTTTAAACAAGTTTAATTTTTCCCAACACTTCACAAAGACAGATTGATTTTTCTGTTCAAAGGTTTTGGGTTTCACTTTGCTGTCAAGATTCTCACAAGGGTATATGAATAAATGCTGGAATTTCTAATGTATTCAAGGGTTAAGCACTCATATATATATATATATATATATATATATATATATATATATATTTAACTTTCTATTCTAGCTTCTGTTCTTTTTTAAATTGCTGGATTATTATTGCCGCTTTATTATTTCTGCTGCTGCTGCAGCTTCTTCTGTGCTGGTACCAATGCTTAAAACCTGGTTGCTAGTGGTTTGGAACTACAATACCAGACCACAAGACCCAGGGAGCATTGGTCTAGCTTCTGTTCTTTTGTTCTGTCCAAGTGATGGTTTGTATTGTTTAAGGTTTATTTCTCTTCTCTAGAGAGTACCATAATGAATTTTTCTGCTGTAATATCTGGTAATTATCTCTGTGTTTGTTGATCATTGATGGGTCTGATTGAGGTGGTTCTATACTTTCCATCTTCGTCCCCACAGCTGATGGATTGCCTACCACATTGTTCATAATTTGCTTTCCTTTGTTTGCTTTCCCCCCTCTTTTAGGGGTATGCACCCTTAGGTTCTGCAGCTTCGAAGACTGAGGTTCTCAACAATCCAATTCTTAAAATGGTTTCCGAGAAATTAGGCAAATCTCCAGCACAAGTGGCTCTTCGGTGGGGACTTCAAATGGGCCACAGTGTGCTACCTAAAAGCACAAATGAGACAAGGATCCTAGAAAACATTAACATTTTTGATTGGTCTATACCTGAAGACTTATTTGCCAAGCTTTCTGAAATTGAACAGGCAAGTGACAAGCTTCTCTCTCTCAATGTTTTATGCCCATGAATATTTCTGTGCACTTGTTCTATACACATACATTGTACATACTATATTTCTGATTGGCCCTGCAAGCTTTTGTGGTTTTGGGTATGCTAGTGGTACCTTGGTGTTGATGTCCTTAGGCCAAAATGTTACTTACTTGATGAATCTTTGAGTCGTAGAGTGGCTCTCTGAATTTATGGAGTGATTACATGCAACCATTAAATCATCATGAGCTATGAGAAGTGCTTTACTTCCTTTTAGATGTTGACCTTATGATTTAACTATGCAGGAGAGACTCATTAAAGGTACTAATTTTGTGCACGGGACCTATGGTGCTTACCGGACGGTGGATGAACTCTGGGATGGTGAAATGTGAGAAGATTCCAGACGTAAAAACACTAGAGAGTTTGTATTTCTTTTTTCAACTATCAGAGAACTCTGGGACTTATGGTACTAATTATGATTATCTTTAGAATCATTATTGTTATGGAAACTCTGCAGGCTATTGACCTTAACGTTTGTATTTCATTTTTTAACCATCCTGCTACTATATAAAGCAGGAGATTGCATAACAAAAAGCATCAAATATTTCAATCAAGAAAAACCCCGGAGAGTTGTTGTCTGTCATCAATGTAAAAATTAATTAGTAGTACACATACATAGATGAAGCTACTAGGCGTGAAGTCTTGTAAAAGTAACTTATAAATAACTAAAAAAAAAAAAAAAAGTAAAAGCCTTTTTACCTATATTTAACCCATCATCGATTAAGATATTTTAATGGACAATTAATGAGTTGAGCTGGGCAGTCAACCCATTTTGTACCCTGCCATCCCATAATTATGTTTATAATTCCACAGACCTGGGTGCTGCTAATGTCAATATGTAAAGAATGGAGTATAATTTGTGATGAGCTAGCAGTTGCCAACATATATATATATATATATGCGCCATCTTTTGTGGCAATCAATTCTACTTTGGTCTGTTAATCTTATAGTGATGCCTCTATCAGAGAACAATTTATGTATTTAAAGTTTAAAACGTGGCTAATTTTTTTTTTTCAGTGACAGAATTATCAGTTCATCACACAGTACTGCATTCCAAGGACCATATAATGAATTAACAAAACTATACGAGTTAAACAGAACAATAACTAAGTAACATATTAGATTTCTCAGCAGCATCACTTCTAACTGAGGCCAACGTCGAGTGAATAATTAATCCTGCTGCCAGCTACTCGGCCCTTATCATATCCGGGCATTAGTGGTCTGATCACTCTTCTTGATCCTCTCAATTGGTATTGCTGCTAATTCTAACATTTCATGCAAAGATCGAAGCATGACCATCCTAAAACAGGTTGTAGGAAACTTTGAAAAGCTGGCATAGTTTCGGGCTCCAATGTTGAATCTCTCACTCTGCTTTCACTCTTAACATGTATTGATTTGTCGAGTTTAGCACTTTCATTGACAACTACCTCATTAGCAGTGAGATATCAAGAGTAAAATTTGCACCTTTATTTTAAGGATGCTGATTTACAACTAGGTCTGTATTAAAGTTACTCCTTCTATATTGATCATGTGTCACACCTTGTCTGGTTGCTGAGAAAGCTTGAGTGTCGAAATGAAATGAGACTTTGAAACAAAGCAGTTCAGACTTTCTTTTTTATTCTCATTATTAAAAAAAAAAAAAATTGCTTTCACTTATGCATCATTACATTGGTAGTCTACTTTTTCTTTATTTGATTCAACAATAACATTTCACAAAAAATTTACCTGGGCCTTACTTCAAAACTTTTCAAGATTTTGCTGCACTAACCTTCTCCACTTAGATAATCTCTTCACTTTCTATTTACTTATTCCTGGTGACAGTTCTAACTTCTGTTGGATTACTATTCTGTAATTATAGGATACCGTTGTATAGTAATTGAAAAGAGAAGCATTTGTAAAATGCCTTCTTTTTCCTTGCAAGCATAAGATTTTCAAATGTACAACTGTTTAAAACAAAAATTTCTGACAGGGTTTGATTGTTATGGTTCAATTCTTGAGGCAACACATGTCTTCGGGCAGGGAAGAATCTCGTCAAGGGTCTTCTTCGCAGCATTGCACACACAGAGGTGGCTGTTTCTCGATGTCACAATTGCAACAAGCAGTATCACAGTCGTTATTACATCCTGCAGATTAATCAAGTCCTTTACTGGCAGCCAGTTTCAAACTTTCAGAATATCTTTGTAACATTTACATCTTCTTGTTGTTCTTTCTTTCCAAAAACAAAATTCAAAATGTACATCTTATTTCTGTTTCCATTTTTAAAGATTCACATGCTAACCCTTATTTGTTGGACTAGTGTTGGGCATGTTTAAGGGAGAACAGAAAGAAGGAAGTTAAAGACATAAATCACCTGTTACAGTTACGAACAATGGTGTCGGTGGTCCGAGGTCCAGCGAGTTGAGGAGGAGTAAGTTGCGAGGGTTTGCTTGGGCAATGTTTGTACTCAAGAACATTACGAAAACTAATATACAAGTTATTCCCAAGAACTTCATTGCAGCAAAAACGACCAACAGAAGATTAGCTGCTTAGTAGATGAAGTTTTCTGTTTTACAAGGTTTATATAGGCCTATTTGTTGTTGAGGTTCAGGCATGAGAGACCTAACCTATTATGATATGACTTAGAAACCATGAATATTTCTTCTCTATAAGTGTTTCCGAATATATGAACAGATCACTCCATAACTGTGTTGTCTACATCTATATTCCTAAAAAATGAATCATGATAATCGGGTGACTAGCAGACCTTTTTATGTACCATTATTATCTTAATAAAATCTGGGTTGCAAAATGCATTTGAAGAACTGTCAAAGGATCAATGTCTCACTTACTAAATGTTGTCATGCCACCTAATTGTTGGTATCATGGTTGTGATTATCCTCGTGCCACGTTAACACAAATGTCCAACATATTTTACACGTCGAGAGAACATCGAAGCATGTTACGGGTAAATCTTCGTTTGGACCTTTTATGTCTAGCCATTACACAAGTCCGTTCAGAAATTGGACATCCAGGAATAGTCAGGTGCACATCCAAGTAAAATGCAAATCTGATTTCTATCTGGAAGACTAAAAAGAAGCAACAGATCCATCATCATAAACAGCCTAAAAACCAGCGAAGGCAATCCTCTCGTACTCTAGAAAACAGATCGCAGCAGGCACAGCCTCACAGCTAGCTGGAGTGGCTTTAAATGATGAGTACAACCTATTTGCAATTGCCTTATTCTCCCAAAAATTCTAAGCCTTTTGGCCTGGTATGATATTATAAATCTCTAACAAGTTAATACAAGCACTAAACCCCTCCTTAGCCAAATAAGAATGCCATCTATTGCACAGAGCTTAACAAAATTCCCATACATAGAACCATGAAGTTCTATAGACATTTATTTGACGAGACAGACAACAAGCTTCATTCTAAATATAAATACAAAAGGAATGAACAATACAATTGGTGCATATATTTATTAATCAAAACATATTGTTTATCCGTATCCCAGAATAACTTGGTCAGATGCGCACATCTTCAATCTGGACACTTATGCACCACCTCCTAGCTTAGCTCAAGCTTCTTGATATTTTGGATCTGCTTCCCAGGGTTCAATCCCTTGGGGCAGGCGCGGGCACAATTCAATATGGTATGGCATCGATAGAGCTTAAACTCATCATTAACTGCGTCCAGGCGCTCCTTGGTATATTCATCACGGCTATCCATGATCCACCTGCATGTACCAGCAGAACTACAGAAATCAGCGCTTTCCTACTGTCTTGGTATATGTAAAATAATTTTCCTTATAAGCACTTTGCAATAGCTAGCAACAAGTTCATATTTTCAAATTTTTCAGAAGGAACAGGTTTGTGGAGTTGCTTCAGAGCAGCATCTCAGAATGCAAACTGTTAAAAAATATTGCTGGGTACCTGGTAACAATTTCATGTTTTCAATTTTTTTAGCAGGAACAAGTTTATTAGTTAGTTCAGAGCATCTCAGAGGAGACAATAATCTTTAGATACACAAAGTTTCACATCCAACAGGCTTCAGATCATGGGGGATCAAGAATAAGTTGAATGAAGTCAAAAGACATTATCATTTCAACATGCAGTTAGAACATAGTCATGTATCACACTTGAAGTCAAGAACAAAAGTAAGAACTTTAATTAGAGTACTAGTTACTAGCCTGTTTACAAAAAATTATATTTGGGGCAAGCATAGGGCATCAGCTAAAGATTGTCAAACAGTCAGCGTGACAACAGTTTCTACTAGTGTTCTCCAAGATTAAGTTCTTACAAAAAATATTCCATCATCGTCTGACTCAAGTTCATGCAAGGGTTTAGAGGGTCATTTATTATAGAGGAGCCATTTGTAGTTTCCTTTCTAATGTTAAAATTAGTTGTTGCACATCACACACTTCAATATAGCCTTTACAAAACAACCTGTTCCTTTGGAGAATGAGAAGAAAGAAAAATCAAGGGAAACAAATAAAGATGTTCAGCAAGTGCAGAAGAAATGAATCATGATTGGAGGTTTTCCAACCATAAAACAGAATCTATCAATGCAAATATTTTCCTGCAGAGATTGAATTGACAATGACGTAAAATTGAACATAAATAGCTAGAGGCGCGTCCAGTTAAGAAAAAATCTATTAGAAATTGTTGCTAAAGCAAATAGAGAGGAAAACAAAAAGCAAGCATGTAAGCAATTCAATAAACACAACCCTCCATTCCAAGTTGTAGCATGGTAAATTATGTATGCTCTCAAGAAAAGAATCAATAAAGAAGCATTTCTGAAATAAACTAAATGCGAGCGTCCATGTTAAAACCCATATTGGTAGCTGCTTGCACTGTAAGATTCTGAAATTAATACAACCAATCACCAGAAGTACATAAATTAATCACATTGAAGAGAGTCCCCGCCATCAAGCACCTTCATACCTAATTACTATATATCCATCCTGAAGTCTCATTGAACTCAAGCCAATTTCTGCCCTTTAAATCATCAAAGATAAAATTTACTAATTCCCATTTCTCAATAAAAAATAAGCAATATCCTTGCGTCAGCTACCAGAATCCACCATGAGCTTCTCACCATTCCCTCATTGCTCCAAACCAGTTTTATTTACCATTTAAATTCCCATCCCTCAATTTAACAGAAAATTGAACCCCCCAAAATCTCAATCCTGTTCCTTAATCCATGAAATCATTAACTGAAAAACAAACAAAATAAAAGGCAAACGCAATTCTAAAGTGAACACAAATGCTAAAACCCACAAAAAGCAATCACTCAAAAAAAAAAAAAAAAAAGAGGAACCATGAGCAAAGAACACCCAGAAAGACCTCAAAGAGACTCAATCCGAGACACAACACAAAATACTAATTACTTATTATCAATCACTATTACCTTAAAAAAAAAAAAACAATCAAATTAAAGAGTATCCATTAATCCAAACCAATCAAAATCCCAATAAATAAATAAATAAATCCAACTAAATAATAAAGAAATCCCATGATAAAATACAAACAAAGAAAAACGAAACCGAACAAAACAAGTAACTGAATGATAAAATTAAAGAAAAAGAAAGAAATTACCTATTAGCATGGAGCAAAGCAGCTGGGCCCAAATAAGACTCAGGATTCCACCAATAACTTGGGCAAGAAGTACTACAACAAGCACACAAAATACACTCATACATCCCATCAAGCTTAGCCCTATCTTTCTTAGTCTGCGGAATCTCCTTCCCTTTAACAGGTGGTGGATTCTTCCTCTTCAACCAAGGCTCAATGCTCTTATACTGATTATAAAAGTTAGTCATATCCACAACCAGATCTTTGATCACAAACATGTGTGGCAACGGATTGATCATACTAGGCGGTCCTGATTTATCAATCTTTGTCAAGCATGCAAGTCCATTACAACCATCAATATTCATTGCACAGGACCCACAAATTCCTTCACGACATGACCGACGAAACGTCAGTGTTGGGTCGATCTCGTTTTTTATCTTGATTAAAGCATCTAGCACCATGGGACCGCAGCTGTTTAGGTCTATTTCGTAGTTTCTGAGCTGCGGTTTTGTTGGGTTGTCTGGGTTCCATCTGTAGATTTGGAATGTTTTCAGATCTTTTGGTTTTGTGGTGCTTGTTGGCTGCTCAACTGGCTCGGCTACTGCGGCCGCTGCCGTGGCTTGGAGGCGAGATGGTATGAATCTTGAGGCTAACGGTGAAATCTTAGCGGTTGAAATGGCTCCTCTCATGAGCAACCCTGTCGCCATTTTTGCTTCCTTTTTTTTTTTTGCCCTTTTTCTTGCTGCTGTTAGATGGGTACTGGACGATGAAATGATGTTTATTGGATGAGAATATACAATGGTAGTTTAGGGATTGAAGAGTGTGGGAGATTAGTGGTTAATAGTTCTCCTTTTAGAACTAAACCTCATATCAGTCCTCCAACTATATATAATTTCTTGATTAAGCCCTTTAACAGCATTATACTTTCAATTGATCGGATCCTTTTAATTCGTCGAATTTTTCAATTCATCCTCCTGTTCTTAATTATTTAAGTGTAAAAACACGTAGTTATTACTTTCAATTTAAAATAGATTCGTTAAAACATATTAAATTAATAATTGAAATAAATTTATACTCTAACTACATGTATAATTTTACGCGTTCTGAATTAGAATTTTTTTATTTATTTACATCATCTAAAACTTGAAAATAAAAAAGATTAAAAACTTTTCATAGGTGAATTGTTTAAATTTTTCATGTCTTAATTATTTGGAAAAAAAAAAAGAGGGGAAATTGAGGAAATATATATAGATGAGGGATATAATTGATAAAAGTCAGTAGTTTGGGACCTCTAGTTGGGGACCTAATATGAGGCAAACCTTTTTCCAAGGAGTAGTTGGACTTTTCAACTAAGGTGATGACGTGGCGATCTATGCTTCGGTGATTAAGGGCGTGACGTGGTTTTATTGTGGACCATCATTTGGTTTTTGTGCCTTAAAAAGGGAAGTAAGTGTCAAATTTCGTTCGCTCCTTCGGTTTGTATAGGCGTGTGCCCACCTCGGTGCTTCCATCTGTAAATTTGGAGTTGCAATTTGCAGCGATCGGAAAGGTCTGAGGCCCACCTAAGGTTGATTTTCAAAAGATTTCTTTCGATTACGTATATTCCTCAGTCTTTTAAAAGTCAAAATTAATGGATAATTAAGTTAATTAAAAAAATGAATTTATGCCCTCTAACCAAAAAAATACATAGCTAACAAGATGTTAGGTCTAACGGTAAACAAATTATTTTTAAATAAATTTTTTATTAATATATAAAATTTAAATTATAAAATCTTATTTATTACAACAGGTTAAATCTTATTGTTTCGATCTTTGAATAGAATTATTTTTATTTTTAATATAAAATAAAAAAAACTTAAAAAAATAATAAGAATCCAAATTTAAATTAAAACATAAGAATATTATTGTCCAAAATTGATATCACAAACACCTTTAATATCAGTCAACCGTCAAATATCATAAGGTGACTGATGTCCATCAAGCATATAAATAAACTTTATATTCTATGAATGATTGATCGCATACTGATGTCAACTCCATTGAAAATTTTCGCTTTTTTTGCTCAATTTTTATCAGCACGAGGAGTTATTTAATCTATTGAGAGTTTTTTTTTCTTTATTCTTTTTTCGTATAAAAAGGTAGGATTTATGAATAATATTTATTTATGTAAGCAAAAAAAATACAACTCAAGATATATTTAATAATTTTCCATATAATCACGTCAATGATCATTTTCTTAATTTCGTTTGCCTTAGACACAAAGTTTTTAATTATTATTCTTATTTGTCTCAAAAATTAAATATTTAAATATTTAAATATTTTATTTTAATTTTTTATTATTATTCTAAATATAACATGAAAATGTCGATGTCATTTTAACTTTTTTAATTTTCATTTCAGACTTTTTGTTTTTAGTAATCAAACGATATGTAAGTAATTTTTTCTTTCGCTTCAAATCGGTATTGATAATTTAACATCAATAATCTATAGCAATGCACGTAAATATCATTTCAAATATTAGTTTTTTTTCCTTGGTTTATAGACTTTGGACTATATATATGATAAGACATTTTTCTTTCATTATATAATAATAGAATAAAACCATACACTACAAGAAAAACATTTTTTAGCGATGAAACTTTAGCGACGGTAAAAAAACCATTGCTAATTACTAAAATTAGCAACGGTCTTACTCGATTTTAGCAACGGTCTAAAAAACGGTTACAAATGTTTTAATTTGCGATCGTTTTTTAGCAACGGTCTACAAATCCATTGCTAATTTGAAAGGTTAACCATTTTAGCGACGGTTTCCATGAAAAATAAACCGTTGCCAATTTCGCAACGGTCTAACCCGTCGGTAAACCATTGCTAAGGAGACAATTGGGTTTAGCGACGGTCACAACCGTTGCTAAATTGTTTCTAAAGATTATTTAATATTTTTGCAACGGTTTTCTAAAAAAAAACCATAGCAAAAAAAATTAAACATTTAGCGACGATCGTGGATCGTCGCTAATCCGTTACCAAATGGGGTCGAGCTGAAACAAAAGGCAAATACCCCGCATTAGCAACGGTTTGATATCCTTAAACCGTTGCAAAAATATTTGGTTTAACGACGGTCATGAACCGTTGGTAAGCAGCTTAGCGACGGCCTAGACCGTTGCCCGTTTCTAACGTAATTAAATTTATGTTTTGCAACAGCTTTTTAAAAATAACCGTTGCAAACAGACAATTAGCGACGATCACGGATCGTCACTAAACCGTCGCTCAAAGTAAACCGTTGGTGGGAAACGAGTCAAATTTAATTTCAAATTTAATTTTAGCGACGGACGGACCGTCGCTAAAAACCTTACCTTTTATAAGTTCCGATCGAACGAAAATCTGAAATTCTCTCTTCTTCTCCTCCGCAATGACTTTATCTATCGTTTTTTTGCTCCAAACTTCTCCTCTCTTTCCTCAAAGCTTTTGTATCCTAAAAATCTCCCTCTTTCTTCCCTCTTTTCCTCATCTTTTCAATCTTTCTCTCTACCGTTCAACTTGTCGTTTTTCGACGACCATACTCCGACGAGGTCTCATAGGCGGTAGCCGCCCCTCTCATCCTTCTCTTGGTGACAGCTTTACCTAAATCTAATCCCTCCTTTCAATTTTTAATTTTTTCAGTTATTTATTTAAGTAAAATAATTTGTTTTTTTTAATTTTTTGTTTAATTACTTATTATTGTTAGTTTAATTATTGAATTGATTGTTTATTGCATGTGTTTTTTTAACTTGATTATTTAATTAAAATTTATTTGATGTGTTATTTTAGTGTAAATTGTGATAGTTAATTGAAATGTTTAATTGTTAATTGTTATGTTAATTTTGTTGTTAATTCTTGATTAATTGAATATTATTGTTAATTTTTAAATTTACTCGTTATTTTTATTTTTAGTTGTTGATTGAATTAATTTGATTGTTAATTGTGAATTTACTTACTTTAATTTATTGTTAATTGTTTTAGTTAGAAAATATAATTGTTATATTTTATTTTATGTTGTTATTTTAATTGTTATTGTTATTGTTATTAGTGTAGTTGCTAATTGTTAATTTACTTAAGTGATTAAAAATTTATTGAAAACATTATTAAGTTTATTTATTACTAGTTTATTAAGTTAAAGCGTTAGGTAAGTACAAAATTAATCAATAAATTAAATTGTAATATATTGTTATTTTTTTGATTAAATATTAAGCTTATATATTTAGTTCATTTAGTTAAATAGATAAGTAATTACAATATTAATTAAGAAAAAAAATAGCATTTTTTTGAAATTATTTTCAATAGATAAAAAATTAAGTTATGACAAATATGTTAAATGCATATTAATTAATTTTAAAAATAAGTCGTATTAAACAAATTAATATATACTTGTTGAATATAGTTTTATTACATTATTAAAAAAAATTTAGTTTTTTCAAAAGTATATTAAATAGATAAAAAATAAAGTTATTAGAAATATTTGTAATTATTAGTAATTAAATAAATAATTAAGTTGTATTTAAAAATTTGATATAAACTTAGCTTGTTTATTTAAAAAATAACTTGTGTGTAACAAAAAAATATTTGAGATTTAGTAATAAAAGTGTTTTAAGTAATTACAAAAACAATTAATATAATTACTTGATTACTATTTTGTTTAAAATGAATTCGGATCGCTCTTGGATTGATTTTAGATTAACTCGGTGGATTATTAAATGAGCATTTTGTAGAAGGGGTTAATGAATTTATTAATTTTGCGGTTAGTCATCCACGAGTGATTGGATGGAAATAAGATACGATGTCCATGTAAATAAAAAAAAATGTCAAAATTGTAGTTATGAAAACCTTGATACCATTAAGTATCATTTGTCGAGATATAGGTTTTTGTCTCGGGTATTATGTGTGGAGACGTCATGGAGAGAATGATTTAGCAATTAATGACAATTCATTTAATAATGTTGAACAAGAACAAATATGTGATGATCGTCAAGTTAATCGATACCATACAATGGTGATGGATGCGACTGGTCCATCTTTTAATCTGTCTAATACAAACGAAGACCCAAACCTTTACGCACAAGCATTTTATGATTTATTAGATGCATCGAATAGAGAAATATGGCATGGGTTAGAAAATCATTCATAGTTATTTGCAATGTCTCGTTTGTTGCAGCTCAAGTCCGAGCATCATTTTTTGGAGAAGTGTTACGACGATTTATGTTAACTTATGAAAGAGTTGATGCCTCCCGATAACTGCATGTTAAAAGACTTTTATAGTACAAAAAAAATGATAGAAATGATGGGTTTACCCGTTGAAAAGATCCACTGTTGCATTAATGGTTGCATGATTTATTGGGGTCGGGACAGCAAGAGAATCACTTGTAAAATATGTGATCATCCTCGATATCGAAATCCTAGGCGAGGGTCGATTAGACAAACATTTGTCCTTTATAAAAAAGTGTATTATTTTTTGATAACCCCACGATTACAAAGGATGTATGCATCAAATGCCACCGCTAATGACATGACATGGCATGCGCAATATGTGTGTGAGCCCAACGTCATACGTTATTGTTCGGACTCCTTCGCATGATGACATTTTGACCAAACACATTCTTATTTTACATCGAAATTAGGAATATTAGATTAGGTGTTTGCAATGATGGGTTTCAACCTCTTAGTAAGTTTGGACAAT